GGATACTTTGCTATAGTTAAAATGAAATTTGCTGAACCATTTCCTTGGACATTTCAATTTCTGCTACATCTCTTTGTTATGGATGGGCTTGAGCTGAAACTTACTTTTTTTGGCAATATATTTAGTAGTGCAAGAAATCTAAGCTTGTTTGAAGACTGTAAGAACTTGAATGCTGATACCAGACATGGTTGTCATTATTTATCACCTGTAAGACCTTTCTGATTCTGCAACGCTTTTTAGACTTTACTGATTCTAAGAATGACCATCGTATGCAATACTATTAGGACAATCTAATTAGCTTTTTAGAATGTTTGTTGAACGGACCCGAGGTGGTCCTTTGGTTGTAAAGTTCATTTTGCAGCTTCTAATGGCATTTTGGCTGACTCTGGTGAAGGATCCTAAACCGTGACATTTTGGTAGAGAGAGGTAGCAGTTTCCAATACCGAAGATGACTGGACTTCATTAACCAGGTCAGATTTTTACGCAGGTTTTCTTTTTAGCAGCCTTGTATTGAGGCTGAATTTTACCCTTGTGACTTTTTTCTCTACTGCGATTATAAGTCTGTACTGTCATGGTTTTTGGTCCACTGCATGCAAAGTCTCAACTATCAGTAGAGTTTTGGGAGGAAGTTTTCAATTTTCACAACTTCAAGCTCTGTTCTTTTACTTTCTTTTGAAGTCGATTTTTGTGATTAAATTCCTTCTGTATGAAACGATATATTCACATTTGATTTGGGGAGAGGGAGGGATTATCTATAAAAAAACTCTATTCTTTAATATATGGAATATGGAAAGTGATTTTAGTAACGGTGGTCAACAGACATACATGCACTTTTGCAGTCGCTTCGCCAACATACATGGGTGAGCTCTTGCAATTTTATTTCAGCATACAAATGACTGATTGGATGGTGCTATCTAAACGAAAATGTAACCTCATGTTCATGGCAAACCATATCCCCCTTCGCCATATCCAGACCCATAGCCCTCCCCATAACCTGATCCACTACCATAGCCTGAACCAGGACCAAATCCTCCTCCTCCTCCGCCCACCCC